GGGGCCGAACGGTAGAAGGCGAGGAGCGAGTTGGCCGAAAGGTAGACAAAAGGAAGTGACCAGGCCGAACGGTAGAAGGCGGGGAGTGAGGTGGCTGAACGGTAGACAAGGGGGAGCGACCAGACCGAAGCGGGGAGCGAGGTGGCCGAACGGTAGACGAGGGGGAGTGATCAGGCTGAATGGTTGGAAGCAGCGAGGAAGCATCCTAACTGCTGTAGCGGTTAGGATGAGTGGGAAACTAATTAGAGTAATAAGAAAGATATTTTGAGAGGATATTCAGCAAAAGATAATTAGAGTAAACAAAGTCATATCTTAGTATAATATTCAGTATAAGTTAAATATAGTAAATAAGGTTAAATAAGATTCATATAAGATAATTATTGCAAGTAGGGTTATTTTCTAATATCCCATACAAGTTGGGCAGGAAGTAATTAGTATAAATAAAGGGAAAGTTTAGGGTTAAAGGTATGCTTTTGATTTGAGAGTTTTGTGAAGGAGGTTATGCTTCAGAATAACTGATGGAGGTTATGCTCCTAATTATTTTTTGTTCTATTTGATTTAGTTATTCTTATCAATAAGAGAGGTTTATTCATCCATTTTCTATTATCTATTTGCCTGTGAGAGTGCGTGAGAGGTTGTTCTGGTTACGTTTCCTACTCGGATACGTAACAACTAGTCCGACCTGCCAGATCAGAGGAGAGGAGTGTGTGACCAGCCGGAGGAACAAAGAGGAGTGAGAGACATCATGGAAGGAAGGATGACTGCAGTCGAAATCAAACTAGAGAACATGGGGTTGAAGCAAGAGAGCATGCAACTGTCCATAGGAGGAGTGGAGACGACGGTGGAGGCAATATGCAAGGGTTTACAAGAGCTGATGAGAATGATGAGAGAGCGAACCCATCAACTAGATGGGAATTCAGAAGGAAGTCAAGGATCTGTTAATGGAAAAATGAATGAAGAGGAGGGCGTAAGAGATGGAGGACTGGACGGTGGTGGACAGGGCGGACCAAACGGTGAGAGGGGCAGTGGACCGAGCGGTGCTGGATGCCAGGAGGAACATCTGAATTGGAGAAAGGGTAGAGTTACCCATTTTCGAAGGGAGTGTTCTTCGAGCACAAAAGTTTCATGAAATTGGGATTAAAATTCTGAAGGAGAGTGTTCTTCGTTACGCGAAATCGTTACTGGAAAGAGTATTTGTTTAGGGCTTTCGTGTTTGATAAAAATTGAAAATGAGAGTGTTCTTCGAGCACAAAAGTTTCATGAAATCCAATACATCATTGTGTCCTAATTTGGATACCTTTCTCGTGGCATACACCTTCGATATGAGATATATAGGTTTCATTGAGGATGACACGTCTAATTGCCCGAAGCTCAAGCTCCTTCACTTGGTCGATACGTCGTCGTTTTTGAATCGCAGAGAGGATGTGGTTTAGGGGGAGAAGATGGTAGGGTTAGCCGTGCTACTCTAGTGACTTTGTTCTCCAAACTTCTCTTTTGGAAGAGTTGGTGTTAGATGTTTGTAAAAATTTGAGGGATAGTAGTTTGGTGTTGGAAGTGTTGAGTTCCTCTCATTGGCTATACCTAATTTTTCTCATTCACAATTTTAGTATAATTTAGGTCCAATCATATATTCTTTTTGATGATGTAGATATTTTGTTTGGAGGTGCTAGTTCTCTGGCTAGTGGTTTGTTCATGTGTTTTAATAAAATTCTATTATGGAATTTATCCAATAAAATTATGATTTTGGAGGTCTTTTATCAGCATACATTTTGAAACCATGTACAATTTTTATTGAAAACATTGACCACTTGCTTCTGTTGCAGAAATACAAGCACGGGTTCCTGTGTAGTGTTCCTAAAATAAATAACTTTTCTTCTGCAAATTTTATTTATCTGATTCTACCAACTTTATCAGTAAATTAAGCCATATATCAGAGTGAGTGGTGGGTTGATTATTTGCTAGCTTTTGAATAGAAAATTCCAGACCTATAATAAACATCCAATTATTTGTTATGATTCATTTAAAAGGAGAAGATGTCACATTATGTATAATTTTCTGCATAACTTGTAGGTTTAAAAGTTGCAAAGACAACATATTTGTATTCTATAGTTTGTTGGTGCTTTTAAAAGGGCATCAAAAGTTTTGTTTGGATAATCCTTTTAATAAATAATGTAAGACAAGAAAATTAAAAGCTAAAATGAATTTAGCTTTCCATCGTTATCACTTTGTAATCGACATAACGTACTTCTATGAATATTCAAGAAGAAAGCAAATAATAAATAAATTAGAGGTAATTAAGAGAAAGAAGAGGGGAGAAAAATAATAAATAAACAATGAGAACTACAACTTCATATCAATACTGTCAAATTTATCTCCTGATTGAAGCAACACCTTGGATCTAAGGTTGACAGAGTTGCCCTCTGCCATGGACTTTACTCTTTGTCTATTGGTAACTGCGCGGACCTTGATGATATGGGGTTGATTGAAATTGCCAGAGGTTGTTCCAGACTGGTTAGCGTCGTTGTGAGAATCGCGAACTCCTTGCGTCGTCGTGAGACCATGTCGTGAGAGCTCTAGCGCCTTCCTTTCTTCTTCCTTGAGCAATTACGAGAATCAGTGCATCCTTCATCTCCGTGAGTCTCCTTTTTCATAACTCCACCAACCTATAAACCCAGAGACATCATAAAACACTGAAACAAATGAAGGAAACGGTTGAAGATGATGAATCCTAATTTGGGTTTCAATTCTCAGAATTTTTTTTAATTATATATTCCACGTAACAACCTGTGCTTATGCCATGTATTAAAAATTAACCACGTCAACCTGCCAGGTCATCAAAAACTTAACCCCGTTAACTCAATTTAATGGCAGGGACCCAATTGAGTCAAATTTTCACTTTTAAGGACTCTTTTAAGAAAAAAATTAATAAAGGGATCTAATTGGAAAAACCAAACATAAATAGGGGCTACTAAAGGGGTTTAACCTTTTTTTTAGTTTGCCACTCTTTCGTATATATTAAACAATGAAAAAATATAATTAATTTTTAATGGAAGAGTTATATGAGTTTGTGCATTTTTTAAAGTAGTAATTTTGGAGTTTTAAATAAATATTAAAAGGAAGATGACTTAACGATTTGGAATGATGATGTGGTTATATTTATTATTTTTTTAGTTTATATGATGCAACGTTCAATCATCCAGTTTCGATCCGTACTATTTTCATAACATACTTCATCAATCTCAATTTTTGAACTCTCACAAGGTTAGGCTCTACCCATTCAGAAAAATTATTTTCATAATTTGCTAAGACACATGCAAAGAAGTCTAACATGATAAATTTGATAAGATTTCGACAACATTTCGCATTGGTCTCCGAAATACATGAAATAAGAGTGATTAGGGATGACCATAATCAAATATGCATCCGGAAAACAACACAAATAATATCAACAGAAATTTTATCAATCTTATCGTACATGTTATAACTAATTTTGAAAAAAAAAATTACCAAACTATCTAATTGGACAATTCAAAATTTAACACAAACGATTAAAAGATTAATCGTTTGTGTTAAATTTCAAACAGGAACTAAGTTTCACTCAATGATTTCATACTTATAATATAACATGTCAATCATAATAACACAAGAAACTTTATCACATGTTTTAACTAACAACCGAATCATATGCATACCTAAAAGCCAATAACATGCATATCCAAAAGCCAATAACATGCAAATCCAAAAGCAATTAACCTGCATACCCAAAACCCAATAACATGCAAATCCAAAAGCCAATAACATGCATACCCAAAAGTCAATAACATGCAAATCGAAAATCCAATAACATGCATACCAAAAAGTCAATAACATGCATACACCAAAAATTTTAAACAAGAAAGCTAACCTTCGTAACAGATTAAGAATGTTGTGGAGGGAAATAGAGGAGTGCAAAATGCAAGAAATCGCAGCCCAAGAATGCCGCCCAAGAACACGAGCAAAACTGCACCAAAACCCAACGAAAACGCATTTTAATCGGTTCAAATGAAAGATAATTCATCATATAGTAATGAAATCAAAGTAAAATTAATTTTAAACGGCGCAAAAGTGAGAAAACGAACCTCAAAATCCTAGCCTATGGAAAGAAAACGCTAGAGCTGTCAAAATGGGTAACCCGGCCCGACCCAACCCGACCCACCACGGGTTGGTCACTTAGTGAGCCAACCCAACCCGGCTCATTTATTAGCGAGCCGAAAAAATTCGAACTTGACTCTACCCACCACTGGTTGGTGGGTTAAACGGGTTGGCTCATTGGCTCACTTAATTAACTTCTTTTTCATTCTCTTCTTCCGAGATTCTTATAACATGTTACTTTGATCGATCAAAGTGAAACAGTAATAATTGGATCAATTAATATAAAAGAAAATGAAACAAAAAAAATATATTGTTATATATATATATATATATTTTAAGCTATCAAGCATAAAATTTTGCCAATTTAATTTAATGAGACATACGTAATTACATATAGCCGTTAACAAAAATATATAGCACAAGATAAAACTGTCATGCTTGTAGATAGGTCTAAAAACAAGATAAAACAGATGATATATTCCTGAATTATCCAATCTATAATATTATCCATCTATTAAATTGGAGTCCTGAATGAATAAATCCATAGGATTATGCTCTCTTGAAGCATCTTCTTCTTTATCTCCATCTACAATACAATAAAAAATAGTGTTAACTAATAATACTGAAACACAAAGTAATAAATAATTAAAGACATATGAGAATAACAATAATGTTACTTGTTAGTTCAAAACCATGCAACCAGTTTTGAGTTAAAATAAGTGCCTCAACATTCTCCGGAAGAATGGATGAACGATATTTGGTTAGCACACGAGAACCAAGACTAAAGGCAGACTCACTAGCAACTGTAGTGATTGGAATGCTAAGAACATCACAAGCCATCTTAGACAACTAATGTAACCAAAGTGATTAGAAGTATGAAATCCTAAGAGAGGGAAATATACACTTTCAAATTAATTCTAAATCCTTTGTATTATCTTCAACTCATCTAAAGTAAATAACCTTGCAAGTTGAAATCATGACCAGCCATGAGATCATCAATTCCAGATGTTTCACATTTCAAATGAATAATGTCCAAATAATCCTAAGGCAGTGGTGTAGTTTCATCCTCTCCAACATGGAGTTGAAGTTGAAAGTCATTTTAATGGTGTAGAACAGAGGTCTGCGGGCTGAAAAAAGAAACATGAAGAAATAGTGTGTTGGGGACAGAATCACAAAGACGAGGGAAGACCACAGTGAAAACAGAGAAAGGGGCAGAATCACAAATATGAGAGAAGACTGCAGTAAAAACAATTAAGACAGTGGGCTTTGTCTCAAGGGAGAAAGAGAAAAATGCAGTTGAGGTTTTCTTAAAGATAAAAAGGGTGGCAGTTATTTTTCGCTTTTGCCAAACAAAGAGCAGTGATTTTAGGTGAGAAAGGGGCGTAACTTTTCAGTTATTTAACAAATGAAGAGTAGGACTTTCATTTTTTAGGTCCAAAGAGACATGGGGTTAGGCAACAGAGGGAGTAAGGAAGCTGGATTTGGGCATCAGAGTTAGGCTTTTAAGGGACTGAGTCAGTTCAGCTTTAGACTGGGTCACAATCCTAGCTGCTCAGCCCATAGAAACTGGCTCGTGAGGATCCATCGATGATCCATTGTTATCATCCAAAATATGACCCAGATGCAATTAAGAATGAAGAAAATTGTAGACATTTCTGATCTTACACTCCAAAAGGTGGTTTTGACTATCATGGCTAGCACTATTAAAAAATAACATTTTATCTTCTAATGTGTGACTATACTGTTTCATTGGCATTTAAGCATAATTATCAAAGGTTTATATGTTGAAGTCATATTTTGAATGAACAAGCACAAGCAAACACAAATTGAAGACAAACAATGTTATGAAAGAAATTAGAGTCGCCCCATACAGATCTAGCTTACCTTGCCATCCATTCCTTCAATGCCCTTTGCAGCATCTTCTATTGTTGCATATTGCACAAAACCAAACCCCTTAGAGTAGCCTGAGACTCGATCAGCTACCACCCTTGCTGAAAACATAAAACCATTGTGTTTCAGGTACATTTTGAAGATATAATCACAAATTATAAAAGCATAATATATAGCTGCATTAAAATATCTAGGAGGGGCAGAAGAAAACCATAAACGACTTCACCAAACTTTGAAAATTCTTCCCGAAGCTTTTCTGTTGTAGTCCGTTTGCTAAGCCCTAAAAGAAAGATACATTAAAAATCAACAGAGTCAACCAAATATTACATGAAACAGGGACTTAGCCACATTTATGACACATTGCATGAAGAAAGGCTTTGACCTAACAATTTTCAGGGAATAAAAATTAAAAGATACAACTCTAATAGTATGGCATTTCCAAAGAGAAACAATGACGTGTCCTTTAGTCCTGGAATATGGTGTATCAAAATTTAATAGCAATGACATGCTGGTTTTACACTACCAGTGCTTTACGTGTTATTTTAATCTGAGCAAACAAAACAGTTAGAGCAAGTGTAGATTAAATCAAAATAGGTAGGGGATGCCATCACAGCAACCAATGAAATTCCTTCAGTGCTGGTAGTGTTTGTTTGTATGGAATACATTTCTTTGATTTGGGTTGGTTAGTGGACAGGGATTTTGGAAGTTCCTTCCAAGAGGCTTTGTCTAGCTTATATCATCTCTCTAATATCTACACAACTCTCTCTTGACAATTAAAAGTTAAAGAAGTACAGCCCTTCAAGTTACTACTTATCCCCATCAGTTAACGAGCTATAAGAGTATTTCAACTCCCCCAGTGTATTTTGTATTTAAACATTCATTCAGTTTCTCACTATTCTAAATACCTAATCTTTCTTCTTCACAAACACATTAGGGAGGAGCTTTCCAAGGTAAATTAGTTTACTCGGTGGTTGAAAAGATTACTAAAAATTGCATTTTTTTTAGATTGATATAACGATACATCTAGCATTGTCTCTTGACCAAAATCGGCTCATATATGACAATATGATAACACATCACAAGATTAACTGATTGTTTTATCAGTCAATCTTATTTCTTTGGTTTTTCCTATATAATTACGGTTTTCCTTATCTTTTGTAAGACAGATTATTGTGCAATCAATATAGCTTTCTCTCTTCTCTTTTCTCTGCTTCTTCCTTTCTTACAGACTATCTATCAGAAACAGCAGATAAGCCTACTAAACTTCCGCAGTCCCAGGGTCTTGTGGGGATAGAAAGAGTTCACCACAATGTTACAGGAACAAGAAAAGGCACACAAACCAAATATAGCAAGACAGCAACTCACCCGTAATAAGGCGTCTAATAGCAATTAATAAAGGAAAATATATTTAGAAAGTATAATACTTATCTTACAAAACCGTCTCCACTTGTATCCATCTAATTTGATCATATTAAGTATTCAATATGAGATATCCAACACCCTAATATAGACCTGTTTAGCCATCTTACTAATTGACGCGGCACATCTAAATCATATTTACCAAACGCATAAGATTTACAAAGCACAAAAATCTAACTCCTTCTAATATGGAGTCTATGTCATTGAAAATTCAAAATCGCACATACGAATAACAAAACCAAAGAACACGATAAAGAATCAACCTTTAACCACGTCAAACCTAAAACTCGAACTACATCAAAACACGTACATCCAATTCACAATTCACACTATATCAAATTATTTAGCAACGAATGACTCTAGAACTTTCTGCTGCAGTCAAATCAATAACCGATAACAATGACAATAAAAAACATGAAATAAATATAAATAAAAGTAGAGGAAAATTGAGAGACAAACCAGAGACAAAGAGATTGGTGTTGGGCTCCGCCGTGGGTCGTGCAGGAGTGGCGACAGCGCCCGCAGGCGGCGTAGGAACGAAAGGGAAAGTAGAAGAAGCAGAGTTTGAGCAGAAAAAGCGTCGCAAAACGCGTGGCGCCGCCACTGCTGCTCTCGTCGCCATGGCCGCGGGTTTAAGCTTAGAAGTAAAACCCTCGTTGAGAATTGAAGAGAGAATGGAGTGTGAGTAGGGCGAAGCCAAGGCGTTTATTTATAAGAAAAATAGGTACGAGGCAATTGCTGTTTGCACTCCCGCATTCTTCTACTCCGTTGAGACTTTAATAAATTATTTTGATATATTCATCATTAAAAAAAGATTATTATATTTTGCAATTGAATTTCTATTATTTAATATTTTGAATTATGTGGTTAATGTAAATTATGAATATTTTTTATTGTTTTCAAATGTTAAATAATAAGACAACTTCACCTTAAGTGGTGACCGAGACAATTTCTCACAGTGGAAATATCACGAAGTGTTATGTTATTAATATCGTTTCAATAAAAATAATAACAGTCTTACATTAACCATAATATTATTTTTATATTAGTTACAAAATATTTATTTTTTTTAATAGATGGAAAACTAGTAGCAAAATAGAAGATAAAATTATTGTCACATATTAACAAAAAAATTAAACTAATAAAAATTAAATTAAAATAATTAAATACATTTTTCGTCTTCACACTATTTTAAAAAATTGTTTCGTTCATATTTTACACTGTATACATATTTCGTCCCCTTAATTTATAAAAGTTACGCAAAACATCCACCTTAAACAAATAACATGTGAAAGTTCAACGTGGAATTTTGTTTATCAATGAAAAACGTATTACATGTTTTGTTTACTGAAAATATTTTACACGAATTTCATATCATTCTGGGACAAAATAATATATTAAGTTAGCTTAATGATGAAACACAATTTTTTAAAATAGTTTCAGAATAAAAAAACCATATTTAAATCATTAAAAAAACATAACAAATTTTAGAAGTCAATATACCAAAAAATAAAATTAATAGTAACTTAATTAAAAATAGGTTTAATCATTTCGGACATTCCTATTTATATAGGATTTTCTCAAATAGGTCATCATATCGTAAATGTCCTCGATTAGGTTTCTTATTATGAAAAATTGAATCAATTTTTAGTTTCGTACTAACATCGTTAAAGGAGGTGACATGTGTCAGTTCATGATTTTTTTGAATTTTTGAATTATTTTTTATTTATTTTTAATTTTTTTAAAAAAATAAAATAAAAAAAGGGTTAAATATGTTTTTAGTCCCTAAACTATTGGCGTTTCTGGTTTTCGTCCCTGTTTCAAAGTAAGGTACAATTTGGTCCTTATTCTTTTCGAAACGTTCGTTTTAGTCCTCGAAAACTAAACATTATTTAAGAATTTTGTCCTCATTTAGCAACAAATGATAGAGCTGTCAAAACGGGTAACCCGGCCCGACCCAACCCGACCCACCACGGGTTGGTCACTTAGTGAGCCAACCCAACCCGGCTCATTTATTAGCGAGCCGAAAAAATTTGAACCCGACCCGACCCACCACGGGTTGGTGGGTTAAACGGGTTGGCTCATTGGCTCACTTAATTAACTTCTTTTTCACTCTCTTCTCCGAGATTCTTATAACATGTTACTTTGATCGATCAAATTGAAACAGTAATAATATGATCAATTAATATAAAGAAAATGAAACAAAAAAATATATTGTTATATATATATATATTTTAAGCTATAAAGCATAAATTTTGCCAATTTAGTTTAATGAGACATACGTAATTACATATAGCCATTAACAAAAATATATACACAAGATAAAACTGTTATGCTTGTAGATAGATCTAAAAACAAGATAAACAAATGATATATTCCTAAATTATCAATCTATAATATTATCCATCTATTAAATTTGAGTCCTGAATGAATAAATCCATAGGATTATGCTCTCTTAAAGCATCTTCTTCTTTATCTCCATCTACAAACAATAAAAAATAG